CTGTGCAGGAGCCTCTGCTACAAGCTTTCTCCTTTCCAAGCACACTGGGAAAGGAGACACTGCACCTGTGTTCTCAGGCCTGTGTGTTTATTTACAGTTCATGTGGGAGGTGGGTCTTCCCCCCTCTCCTGTGCAGTTTTCCTCCCACCTCCACTTTCACAAGCTTTCCTGCTCCTGATTACTGGGCGGTGCTGCTGCTCCTGCCAGCTGCCATGTTTGTTTACAGTTCATGTGGGAAGTGGGTCTTCCCTCCTCTCCTGTGGAGTTTTCCTCCCTCCACCACTCTCACAAGCTTTCCCGCTCCTGGTTGCTTGGCGCATGCCCCCGCTCCTGCCAGAGCCTCTCTGGCCCACCTGACTTGTTTATTTACAGTCCCAGGAAGGATTCCCATCACCCAATCTATGGCGCTCAGTGCGCCCCACCCTCTTTCCTTCATGTGTCTTTATTGTTCTTATTGCTTATTAGTCAGTTTCTTTTTTTTTCCCCGGGTGGAGGTCAGTCTGTCCGGGGGGCTATGCTGCTCTGGCCCAGGGTTTTCTGTGGGAGTACCATGGTACCGTGAAGCTTACCTGGTCTGCGTCTTCCCAAGCCATCTGGGCATGGGCAGCTGGTAGCCTGGGGGCCCTCTTTTCTTCTCCATTTAACGTGAAGTGGAGATTCTCTGCACCGGCTGGAGGAGTGGAGGGGTCAAAGTTATGCCTCTTCTCAGTGATTATGCCTGCAAAATGTGTCTCCAGTGTTTCTCCAAGATTTCACTATAGGAGGCTTGCTTTCTGCTTCCTCCCTCTAGCTGCCATCTTGGAATCCCTCAGTCAGACAATTTTGTGTAACAGTACTTTACTCTGATTACTGAGAGGTATTCATTACTTGTATAATTTATATTTCAATATACCACAATTTGTTCATTCATTCACCTTTGATAGATCCTGGATGCAGTCACTTTTAAAGGTCATGAATTGTTGGAAATGCTATCCTCCTTGAAATAAATTCAGACTATAATTTACTCCATTGACTCCTATGTTGTCTACTTTGCTCCTACTTAATACTTCCCATGACTCATATTATTTTTCCCAATTGAAGGGTGTAGGAGGTGAATATGGTACAAACACTATGTGCACATGTATGTAAATGGAAAAATGAGATTTGTTGAAACTATTTCAGGAATAGAGGGATGGGGGATAAAGGACAATGATTGAGGGGATAAATTCAGCTATGACATATTGTAAGAACACTTGTAAATGTCACAATGTACCCCCCAGCATAAAAATACTAAAAAAAAAAAGACTAAAACCCTAATACCTGTTTTGTGTTTTCTAAACTAGACTTTTTCAGATACTAATTGTACATATGTTTGAGGTATAGTGTGAAATTTCAGTACATGCATACAATGTGTAATGATTGGATCAGACTAATTAACATATTCTTCACTTAAAATGTTTGTCATTCTTTGGGGAACATTCAAAATACTCTCCTCCAGTCATTTTGACATTTACAATAAATTGTTGTAAACCACAGTCATCCTATTATGTTATAAAAATTTAGAGATTATTTTACTATCCAACTGCACCTCTCTCCCTATTTGCCATGTTCTCTCCATCCACTCTTTCACACACCCTTCCTAGCCTTTAATAACCACTATTCTACTCCACTTCCTTGAAATCCACTTTTAAGTTAATTATTATCATAAATTTTGGTTCCTTTTTGCAATTTGCTTTAACTTTAACTTGATTATGGCATGCTATTTGCAGTTATTACCATAATATATTTTTCTGAACTTATTATATCTATGTTAAACAGAAATCTTCCTACCATTTTTAGTAGTATGACTTTTAAGTTTTATAGTTTTTGTTTTTTGGTTAGCTCCTTGGTTACTTAAATTGCATCAAGTCATTTTTACATGGAATGATACATTAATAATACATATGCTGAACTTTCATGTATTTTAGACATTCATTTGGTCTATTTGTTGCACTTGAAGGACACCTTGCCTAGGCATAGTATTTTGTGGACAATGGTATTGGCATTTAGGTTTCATTTTTTAGGGTGGTGAGAGGCCCAGGAGAGGTGGCCACCATGCTTCACCTAACCCAAAGAAACAAGGGAGGAGGCCCTTAGCATTTGCTCCCATGTGTGCTGTTTTTCTCACTGTCTTTCAGAGGGCAAAAAGCCTCAGCCTATTGCAGACCACCATCAACTCTGCAACAAACAAAATTGTCAGCTGTTGGCGCATCCATCCACCTGGTACCTGTGGTGGCCAAGAGGCCAGGTGGATAGGGAATTCTTCTGAGGCACCAATGCCTCCAGGAAGAGTTGGGCTCTATCAACAGGGATCCCTTGAGGGCAAAGCAAGGCCTGGCCGTGTGGCTATATGGACAGGAATGGAGCTCATCCCTGTGTGGTGCTCTTCCCTGGCCTGTGGGAAGTGCATCAGGACCATGTCCTCACATGCAAAAAATCAATTAATTAAATAATTACTTTATTTCATTTTCTAAAATACCTTTGGAAAACTCCAAGGTAAAGCTGTCTGCTACTTCTTCTTAGACCTCTCATAAGGCTATCTCTTATCTTGATACTTGTAGAAATATTCCTCCACATTTGAAGTTCTCTCACTTCAAGCCTGTGTTTTTGTATTTTGTGACTTGCATTACAATGTTTCTATATCACAGAAAATCCCTTTTGTTTTGAAAGTCTGCATCTTTCTTCATTTCCAAAACAAACATTTAAGCTTAATATAAACACCTGTACACCCATGTTTATTGCTAAACTATTCACAGTAACCAAATTATAGAATCAGCCTAGGTGCTCATCAATGAATAAATGGGTAAGAAAATGAGTTATATTTACACAATTATTAAGTTTTGCATATGTAAAAACACACTCACAGAGTTTCTTGGATAACTAAATGGAAAATGATGTGAAGCAAGAAATATAATGTAGAAATAAGATCACATGTGGGTAAAAAATGAAGAAACAATTTTGTAAATGTCATAACACATCAAATGGAAATTTGACAGGGCAAATGAAAGGATAAGAAAATGCAGTGTATATATACACAATGGAGTTATCAGCCATCAAGAAAAATGAAATTGCATCATTTTCAGGAAAATGGATAGAACTGGAATGTTGCCATTTATCAGCTGGACCTCAGTGACCAGAACCGGAAAAGATGGGGGGGACTATGAAGTTGTGCTCAATAGCCACTTTATTGAAGATCACTTCTGCTTTTCATAAACTCCTCTTTCACAAGAGAGCATTTGGTCAAAAAAAGCATGCCAAGTATTATGTGTCAAGGTTATGTTAGTACAAGGAAGCACAGTTAAAATTAACTCTTTGTTATGTCTCTTTTAAAATGGGAACAGAGAGACAGGAGAAACACTGAGTCAGCATAACTTTCTTATTTACATCTGAAGGACATGAAGCCATCTGGGGAAACTTGAGCACTGTTGTTTTTCTGAACGTCTAGTTCTGAGCCTTTTGCTTCAGTTCCTTGGAGCTTTCTCACAAGGCCAGATACCAAATCACACATGGGCAAGGTCAGGTCCTGAGGCCTTTGCCTCAGTTCCTTGGAGATTTCTCACAAGATCAGATAACAAATCACACAGGCATGGTCTCACTGCTGGCTCCAACACTGGAGATCATCAAATAAGTGAAATATTCCAGTCCCACAAACACAAGTATCACATGTTTTCTCTCATATGTGGAAGGTAGGAGAAAAGGCATAAAAGCAAAAAGAAGATTATTAAGAATGTGCAATGGGAATAATGATAGAAAGGAGTAATAGAGGGGTAAATATGATCAAAGTTTATTTATAGGTGTATGTGGAAATGTCATACTGAAAACCCTACTTTGTACAATTAATATACAATAATAAAAAGAAAAATGATAATCAAAACTGAGTACTGGAGATAATAAGTATTGCATATATGTGGTCATCACTGTATGAAAGAACAAAGAATGGCTTTGAATGCCATTACTTTTAAGGAACAAAAAAGGACACAATTTGACCAAGGGTGGCAATTTAGGCAATGACATATCCAGTTTGGATAATCAATGTCTATTCTCCCTATTTCTGAGGTTGGCTGGGGGGTGATGAGAAGAAACAAATCAAATCATCTGAGATCTAAAACAAGATCAATAAGGATGCACACTTGAATATTGACAAGATCAAATCCCACATTTTTCAAGCTTCAACATCGTAAAATTTTCTTCCTTTGTGGAATCATGAAAAAGTAAAATAAAATCTTGAGTGCAAAATGTTTGATAAATTTTAAGTATCAAGGGGGAAAAGAGTTTTGAAGAGTGAGGTTGATAAGCAGACTCTGGCTTCCTGTCCCATTTTGAGGAAATAGTTTTTAGGACCCAAGTATGAATTACCTCTCAGGTTAATATAAACTTCTATAACAAAACAAATGCAGCATACATTTTAATTTCAGGTAAGGTAAAAGAAAAAGACAATTCAGACATGAAATAAAAGAGAAATAAAAAGACTGTGACAGAATGAACTAAACATTTCCTTAGAAAGGGTGAATACTTTTTATTCCATAAAGAAAAGTTCAATTTAGAAGGGTGAGTTGAGATTGAGACATTTAACTCTTAGTATTAATATGGGAATACAGAATCATATTGTAGGATAGTTATGTTTTTTAAACAACAACAGATGATAAATGAATGATCACAAAACCTAGAAACAGAAACTTCAATTACAAGATTTTCACAGTTAAATACTTTCAAAAATTTAATATGCTAGTAATAAAAGATTATTTTACATTATGCTTTCCATGATCAGTGGAAATAATAGGAAACCTGTCGTGGCTGGTTCTAAGATCCCTTTTACATCAGGCACACTTGCTACTTAACCCTTTTAATTGTTGGACTATTCAGTATTATTTCACCTGAACAGAAAGTTTGATGTTGGTAAAAAAGATATGTAGAATAATATTCAAATATCAGTATCAATACTATGAGTGGATAGGATTATATAAGAGATCCAAATGTTACCATCAGAGACAGAAGGGAATTTTCTCCTTACAAAGCACTCTTCTCAGGGCTCCCTTCATGTCCCGGTTCCTTAGGCTGTAGATGAAGGGGTTCAGCATTGGAGTCACCACAGTGTATATCATAGCCATGACAGTCTCATTCACTGTAGAGTTATTAGATGATGGGCATAAATAGAGACCAATTACAGTTCCATAGAAGAGTGACACCACAGACAGGTGGGAGCCACAGGTTGAGAAGGCTTTACAGATGCCCTGAGTAGAAGAGACCTTGAGGATGGAAGAGAAAATTCGTGCATAGGACACAATGATGACTACAAATGGAATCACAAGAATGAGTCCTCCCATGATAAATATCACCCACTCATTTACCTGGATGTCAGAGCAGGCCAGCTTCAGCAGAGCTGACATGTCACAGAAAAAGTGAGGAATCACATTGTCCTCACAGAAGGACAATCTGGCCACGAGCAAGGTGTGCAACATGGCATGGAACGTTGTCAGCACCCAGGACAGCACCACCAGCCACAAGCAGAGCTTGGGGCTCATGATGCTGGTGTAGTGCAGGGGGAAGCAGATGGCCACATAGCGGTCATAGGCCATGGCCACAAGGAGGAAGCTCTCTGAATCAGCAAAGAACAGGAAGAAGTACATTTGTGTCAGGCAGCCTGCATAGGGGATGGAGGGTACTTGGTTCTGCATGTTCTTCAACAGCTTGGGCATTGTGACAGAGGAGAAGCAGAGGTCAGAGAAGGACAAGTTACTGAGGAAAGAATACATGGGTGTGTGGAGATGGGAGTCCAGGTGAATGAGGACAATGATGAGGAGATTCCCTAGGATGGTGATAAGGTACATGGCCAGGAACAGAATGTAGAAAAGGTTTTGGTGCTCTCGCCAGATGGGAAGGCCCAGGAGTAGGAACTCTGAAAGTACAGTTTGGTTCCTTCCTGTCATGTTCTGTCTCTAAGACCTTTAAGAGAAAATAATGTAGACATTTTATGGAATATAGACCTTATACAAATAGAACAATATTATGAAAAACAGGACACACTACAGTGAGATCACATACGAGAGAGGGAGAGTAAAATAAGGAATTGAAGAAGGTGTATTGGTTGATGTGCTCTCTATACAAGAATGTATATAGAATTTTAAAACCCTTTAAAGTCATTATAAGAAGGAGCTAATATAGAAAGAAGAAAAATGATGAGATCAACTAATTTGGGTTACAATACACATGTACATGGAAATGTGACAAGGAAACTCCCTCCATAGCTATCTTAAACAAACAAAAATGTAATTTTTTTCTTTTACAAATTCAGAGAACAGGAGTGTGGAACAGGTCCTGACTGGGAGCGTTGGTACCAGTGGGAGGAGGAGGATGTGAAAAAGGGTGCAGGAGGGTAAATATAGTGCAAATACCATGTACACATATATGCAAATGGAAAAATGATACCTTTTGAAACTATTCTAGGAATTGGAGGAAATGAAGAATAATGATAGAAGGAGGTGAATTCAAGTTTGATATATTTGATATATTATAAGAACTTCTGTAAATGCAACAATGTACCACCAGAACAATAAAAAAATAGAAATATGAATACATATGAGCAGATTTCTGAGATTTGTGTTCTAGTAGATGTTTTGCAATAAATTGTCTCACCCTCATTATTCCAAGAACATGCACAGCAAGAAGTATGTCACATCGATAAATTCAAACCACTTTCCAGACTACTTTCTTCATTTCTCATTAGATTCATTATATTGACTCTTTGCTGTCTTGTCAATCTCAGGTATTTGTTTTTTTGAGTCATGTTGGTGCCCTGACACTTCCATGACTGCTCATTCTGAACAACTGCATCTCTTTACTTGTTTAGCAATATTTTCTATGTTGTAGTTCTCTGGAGCTATTATCTAAGCACAGTATCTATTATATAGATACTGCCCTAGAAATGTTTCTGTGGTATTGGTAACCATAGAAACCTCATGGGTGAACCTTTCAATTATCTTCATTGTCCCATTAGCTACTTCTTACTGGTTATCTTTCCATGGATATATCAGATCCATATTGAATTCAACACAACCGAATTGAACCTCATGACTAATGGTACCCTTTCTCAACTGTTTTCTCAATAAAAGGAATCCAGGCTTAATTCAAAAACCTTGGAGATTTCCTTCATCCATCCATTTCTCTAACTTTCTCCATCAAAAATAGGAAGTCCTACAGATTCTGCCACTTTCTTTTCCTTGCTTCCTTCCTCCCTCTCATGCTCCCTCCCTCCTTTCTTCCTCTCTTTCTCCTTTCCTTCTTCCTTCTTTCTTTTCCTTCCTTAGTTTCTTTCTTCCTTCCTTTCATCTTCCCTCCTTCCTTCCTTCATTCCTTCCTACTTCCTTTCTCTATCTTGTTTTCAATTTTTGTCATTCTTGGTTTTGGTTTTCTGAGGCAGAGTGTCACTATGTAGCCCAGACTGATTTCAAACTCAAAATCCTTATGCCTCTGAGTACTGGGGTTGAAGGTGTATGCCACTACACTTATCTTTTATTGTCTTTGTAGTTCATCCATGCTAAGTACAACTACCACAATCTGGGCAAGGCTGACATCAGATATTGTCTACGCAGTTCGAATATTCTGTTTTTATTTTCCTGCTCACACAGTCTTTTCACATTGTGACAGTCTGGGATGAAAATCTGATCAGTATTTTCCTGCTCAGAGTTGCATGAATGTTCATTGTTCTTAAGCGAAAGGTAAAATTCCTTTTAATACCACAATAGACAAAAGGTATTTCATGATTTGTTCCCTGCCTACCTCCACAGTCTCTTCTGGTCCCCCAGTGACTCATCTCCAATGAAGCAATGTGTTACTTTTAAGTCACAATTTCTAAGATTCCAGTAATTCCCATTTGCTGCTCCTCTTTCCTACTTCTGTCTTCCCTTTACTTGCACTTCACCTGGTTTACACTTCTTTCAGGTAACTTATTACATGTGACTTGCTCAGCTAAATCTACCCTGCCTCCCAATACCAGGTGAGATCCACTGTTGTCTTTCCATAGCATTCTGTGCTCATCCCATAGCACTCGATGCCCATGATCAGTTATTCATTGTTAGCTTCCCACCAGACTGTACACTCCATGCAAGGAAGGCCATGCCTGCCTTCATGGCACAGCAAGGATAGCTCCTGTCATGTACCTGGATGCAACCACTATTTGATGGATATGTAGTGGTTGTGTTTCATAATGACACAAGTATTCATGTTTAAAGCTAATGGATTCCAATCTACACTGGAATCACTACTACTACTAAATCATCCCAGAAGCACTTACTATCTTGAACTTTTAAACTGTGTTACAAAATTCCCTCATGTAACATCAGACCCATGGAAAATATTAGATAATCAACCACACTATTATTCATCCTAAAGAGACAACCACATAATTGGTTATGCATGATTAAGCTGATATTTTGTCTTTGTGTTGGCACACTTGGAATTCATTGATCCTGGTATAAAAATTAATCTGATATGTTTAGTAGCATTTGGAGAAACTAAAGAATAAAGATAATTTCTACCCCAGACATCCTATACCTTGGATGCCTCTTCAGAATAAGAAAGCTGACAATGGGTGATAAGGCACAAGGGAAGCTCCTCCCCTAAAGAGCATACACTGAGTTTACTTGCTGAAATTTTCATCCTACTTATGCTGTTTAATCTGGCCACATTAGTAGGCTTTTTTTAAGATGCTTGCACATAATGTGCTAGTGTTCCAGTAAAAAAAAAGAATCAATGAAATTTTATGTACCTGGCTTCTAAGAATGGTGCCTTCAAGGGAATTTAGTGGGACTCATCTCTGACATCCGGGTCTTCTTAGGAATTACAAAACAAAGGGATATAACTTGCCAACAGGGCCACTGATTTACATCCCAAGCCCATGATGAGACTTCTCCTCTTCCTCACCAAGCACATGTTCAGGCCTCAGTCTGTACAATACATAAGGTTCAAAAAAGGACTGTGCTTTTAAAACTTAATTTAACCATGAAGCACCTAGCTACCCTGTTAAATGCTGCTTTTGATTCAGCAGGCTTGGTGTAAGGCCTAAAATTCTACATTTTAAAGATACAAATTTTACATTTTTTAATGTTAACTAGGCTGGTCTGTAAATGACACTTAGAAAACTAAGACTGTAAAATACATTTCAAAAGTACAGATTCTGTGCTGTTGCAATAAATGGGATCAGAATATCTTGCAGGGAGGCTGTCCAAAGGATTTTGAATCACCTTAAATGTTTTAATTATGCAGCCAATGGTGAAAATCCTCTGTATTAAATGCCTACCTCACAGAGATGTTGTTATATTGAATTGATACCATATTAAAGAATGCACTGCACAATACTATTAAGGAATGCTGTCATTCATAAAAAGGTTACAGTGAACTTTAATCAGAATTTTTCTACAATATGGAAAGGTCATGGGAGACAGAGATGGAAAAGAGAGAGGATATCATTCCTGAAAATGTGTCCCTCAGAACATCATACAATCCAGGAAACTGAGACCCTCAGGCTGCACAACTCTAAGGCACCATCTCATTTATCCTCCTCACAACTTACTGAGAATGTTAGAGACTGACTCTGAGGCCCTGACCCAAGATTGTGCTCCTGTTGATTCACTGTAGGCACAGGAGGTAACCACCTCTGTAGTCATCAGCTATGTCTGCATCATCCCAGATCACGTTTATCATTCTATTCATCATTGGGGCCTAAGGGGTCCTGTATCCCAGAGGAATCTTCATCCTGGAGGAACTCATTAAAAAATAATTACCCAGGATCTCTCTAGGACAAATTCCCTCAGCGTCTTGTATTTTTGACTAATTACAGAGCCTAATCCCACTTGACTATAATTTGGGAGAACATGGAGATGGATGAACCTGGTGTGTGGATGCTTACTCACTGACTCTTTACAGAATGGACAGGAATCATGTAATTACTTTTAGGAGATGAAGAAGAATCATTGGAGAATTCGTGAAAGACATAAAAGACCAGATTTTTGATACTTTGAAATATACTAGAAGTACAATTTTATCCAAGAAGCCAACAGATGTTTTGAAACAGAGGACCACCATAAAAGGAATGCTTTGGAAATATTCCCAAGGTGCACAATCCATATAAACAATATGTAGGAGAGATAAACATGCTGCTAACAAAAATCTGACTTCAGTTATTCAAATATGTAAATATGTCTATATATATGTTAATGACAAAAACAAGAGAAAAGATGAACCTCTCCAGAATATATTCAGTTGTTTCTCAGATCAAGAAAGATAAAGAAGTCCAGATTCCCATCCTATTCAACTTCTTTCACTTCATTACTTTCCTATGAAAATCTTAATAACACTAACCACCACCTCCATGTCCACTACTCTCCATAGGTCAATTTATGTACTAATGTCATGTTATTCCTGTTCCTGCAATTGATCAGACTATCTATTGATGACATTCATTATTCCTCCTTCTGCTACTCATTCCAGGTTCCCATTGTACTTGGAAATTATCAACTGGTTGGTGTTCTATATATCGTGACATAAGGCAAATTTTCACTCTAGAAGAATGTGCATACTCATTGGTCTTACAATTTATTGGTTCACTATAGATTAAGTTAACATTTATATCTGGACATGGAATTCCCCAAAGTTTCATGCATGATCTTCTCTGCTGACTTGTGAAGAGCGACCAAGGTTTCCCTCACTAATTAGTATCAATCACATTTGGCAGAATGACATTTCTGCTCTTTGTGTACTGGATTACGTAAGTGTTATTGTTGGATATGAAATGTCTCCCCATGAGTAATGTGTTTCAAGCTTATTCCACAGTGTAATATTCAAAGGTAGGACTCTGGGGATTTGATTGGATCATGAAAACTCTTGCATAGTTAATGAATTCATAAACTGATGGTATTATTTTAAAGTTGCA